TTATAATTAGAAAAGTTTGGTGCAGGAGCTCCTGGGTGGCTCAGTCAAGTGTCAGACTCTTGATTTAAACTCAGGTCATGATATCTGGGTTATGAGATTGAGCCCCATTGTTCCGCTCTGTGCTCAGTGGGGAGTTGGCTTAAGATTCTCTCTCTCCCTCTCCCTGTTCACCCCCCACTCCGCTCTCTCTCCCTGACTCTCTCAAATAAATAAGTAAATCTTAAAAAAAAAAAAAGAAAAGAAAAGTTTGGTGCATTTATTTAATCATATTTGTGTGTGTGTCCTGCTAACTCATGTACAACTTGATTCTTCTGCCCAGCTTCTAGCTAATTCTGCAGAAATAGAACTAGAGTGATTTGTGTATGTTTATGTGCCCACTATGGGGCACGATGCTCGGTGCTTTACTTCTGTATCTTAGCCTCACCCAGTTCTTCAAGCTCGATATTAATATCTCTGTTTTGTTCAGAATGAAATATTAAGTGACTTGCCTAAAATGGAGACTTGGTAAAAATAAAAACAACTATTTCCAAAATAATGGTTTTTGTTTATTGGAGAAAAATAAAGATTTATTATAAATCATAAAGCAAATTATTAACTCTCAAAAGTAAAAACTATATTATTATTTTTTATATATACCAGAAAACTGAAGCATGCATAAGGTTGCTTTGAAAGTAAGAGAGTAAAGATAAAGCTGGGTAAAGTCAAAACCTGTGTCCTTTTTATTATGTCTTGTTGTCAACTTCAATGGCAAATAAGATTCAACAGATAGAATTATGTTCCAGATGTTCTTGCAGGTCTTGGTCTTATAAAGGAGAATAAGTTTTCACTGATGTTCTTTGGAAATGAAGAGGCATGATAGCTTTTATCTGGAAAACTTAAAATAGAAGGGAGGCTGCTAAATCATCCAAGTAGAAAATTATAAAGCACTTAACTAAGGTGATAATTGTTTCGCTGTTACTTTTTGTACGTCTGGTATGTGTAAATACTATGTTAAAATTCCTGGGCTAGAGAGCTGTCTGAGTGGCTCAGTCGGTTGAGCGTCAGACTCTTGGTTTTGGCTCAGGTCGTGCTCTCAGGGTCATGAGATCGAGCCCCATGTCTCCCTCTGTTCCTTCCCACTGTGCTCTCTCTCTCAGATAAATAAATAAATCTTTGAAAAAAAAAATCCTGGGCCAGAAAGGACTGGAAAACACAGGCATCTTTGTGTCACTGTGTCCCCGGCATGGACACCAGGGCCTTTGATATCCTTTCCAGTGTGTGGGTATGTTGAGTGGTAGATATGATGCTGGAAAAGAGACCCTCAAGGAGTTCTTCGCTGAATTTTGTTTGGTTGTCCTGATGTTTATATGCATTTACTTGAGTATCAAGCACTGCCAGACTTTTCCAGTGAATAATTTATAAAGTTTTCAACTTATTTGATATCCAGATCTTTCCCTTTCTTGATGGCTTCACCTCCTTCATCCACTGCCATGATCAAATGCTTATCATCACCAGGAACTGTATCATATCTGTATCAGTTAGAACCCACTAGCTTAAGCAGACAAGGAATATAGCAAAGGATATTTAGTCGCACACACAATCTTTACAAAGGCGCAAGAACCAAGACTAGAGGCTTTGAAGTCTGGAACAGGGCCCAAATTATCCCATAAAGACCTGCTCCAGGGGAAACATAGCTGCTGCTCAGCCAACAGGCTCTGCTGAAGTGAGCATAAGATGCTATCTCTGCTACCATTACCTCTGGGAGCTGGATGAGTGTGTTTCCGCATTTTCTGAATGGATATTTTTGGGGTACATGTTTCTTCTAGTCACCAGCTTCTAAATCAAACACTGCCAGCAAGTATGATGGGCAGATTCTAGATCATAATGCTCCAGGGAGACTGGGAAAGCGAATTTTAACTTTTAACTTGGGGCAGCATGGATTCCTGAGATGAGCAACTTCAGGTAAAGGAGGGTGGTCAATGTTTTGGAGCAGCTGTCTAGTCTTGGAGAGAGAGAGATAGAGAGCAGGAGAGAGAAGAGGGAGAGGAGGGATCAGTATTCCTAAATTCTCTGAAGTATCCATTCCACCATTTCAAGCATTTCACTGTTGCACAACCAGCTTTCATTCTTCCTTCTTTTGTTTTTATTTAAAAAAATATTTTAATTTATTTGAGAGGGAGATAGAGAGAGGTGGTGGCGGGGAGAAAGAGAGAAGGAACTAAGGGAGAGGGACAAGCCGACTCCACACTGAGCAAAGATCCTGATGCAGGGCTTGATCCCATGACCCTGAGATCATGACCTGAGCTGAAACCAAGAGTGGGACACTTAACTGACTGAGCCACCAGGTGCCTCTCATTCCTCCTTCTTTTAAACACTAGTATCCTCTTTCTAGAGTTCTACAAGCACATAGATACCCCCAACCCATTGACTCTACCACTTACTCTCCTTTAAACGTTATTGGTCCTTCACTCTCCAGTTTGTTTGTTCACTCTTTTGTTTGTGTAATGCTTCCACTCCTGTACTTTGCTCTCTTAGTTATGACTCTGACACAGGCTGTGCTCCATGGGCAAAAGCTGTGCTCAGGAAAGAACTTCTGCTACGTTGCTACATGGCAGTTATTAGATGTGTGGCCCAACCCATTGCCTTTTGAGGATTGCAACCAATGACTCCTCATGACAACCACTTCCTTGGAAACATGCTTCACTCCTCTGTTGGTGTTGCTGTCTGTTCTACTCATGAGACAAAAGTCCAGTCACGGGTAAAGCCATCAATTGTCCTCATAACTGCTGCTAAGCACCTGTATACTGCTCAAAAAAAAATCACACAATCCTACTGACTAATTTCCCTTTCAATTAATCACTAAAATCTCGAATAGGTATTCAACACTTCTCAGCCTTCTATGCTACCCTTTATTAAGTTTGCATATACAGATGGCCCCACACTCTTCTGGTTTTCTTTCTGGCTCAGAGTCCCGACTCACTCTATTTCCTGCTCCACCTCCTCATTTCAACCTCTGCAGATCCTATTTCACAGATTTTAATCTCCCCAAGTCTTCTTCCATTTGGTAAATAATACCTCAATCCTCCTTGTTGCTCAAGTGAAAATTCGGAATTATCCTTTATGTTCTCTCTTTCTCTGCCCTCACATTCCATCTGTCATGAACTTACTTCATTTCCACTGCTATCACTCCAATGCAAGCCAATGCTGTCTCTCTTCTGCAGGACCACCTATGGTCCTCCTGCTTCTAACCATATCCCCTTTTGCAATCCATTCTCTAAACTCAACCACCAGAGTACACTTCCTACAGGATAAAATTGTCATGTCATTTCCATTGAACTTGACATGATGATCCTAACTCCCCAAGATGGCCTTAAAGCCAGGCATGACCTATGGCCCCACTACTTCATTCACTATTAACTTCCTTATCTTTAAAAAAAATTATCACTATCTAAAACTATCTTGTTAATTGATTGGCATTCATGTTTATTCTTGGTACCTTCCCACTAGAATGTGATAGAAGCATCTACTTTGGCCATCCTTATGAAATTAATTACCTAGTACTCTCTATTTTTATTTCCTTGTGTCACTTTTCTTCACAGTCCTGATGAGTCCTTAAAAGTATATCGTGTATGCACTTACTTATATGTTAAAATTTGTCTTGCCACACAGAATGTAAGCTCAAGTGTCTTATGGCCAGAGTGTCTCCACCACCTAGAACTGTGCCTGGAACAGAGTAGGCTCTGAGATTCTCGAATGGAAATAAATCAAGGAATAAATTAACTACATGATAAGGAAGATAAAGGATATAAATTCATAACATTTTAGGCCTGGAAGGGACATTTGTAATCATTTAGTTGAACATGATTAGCTCTGAGTGAGAAAACTGAGGCCCGGGGAGCACAGCTAATTATTGGAAGAATTGGGACTAATTACTTAGCTGTCATCTAATTTACATTTCACCATGCTACACTGTGTCCTTTGTAAGTAAATGAATTTCTTTTTTTGGCCTTCATTTTTCTGCATGCCCCGGTCCATTATCCCTTCAACGTTTCTGGCCTATTGTAGGTGCTTCATAAACTTGTTTAATTAGTATATGCATAAATAATACCCTAATACTGTATACTGCTAAATTATATGACCTGGTAACATTTGGCTTGCTGTGGGAGAATCTTTGATTTTCTCTGATATGCAGTGTTATTGATAATCTTTCTTCCCTTTCAGTGATAGAACAGGGAAGAATGTTTGTGTGCTTCAAGGACACATATTTTAAAGTCAGAGTGCCTGATAGGAGGACCAAGTGGGGAGTCTCTGAATAGGAAATTATCAGAGAGCCCTTTTATGCAGATCCTTTCTGCATGTACTTACTTAAGATAGGATACGATCGTTCTTCAAGGAGGGTTGCTGGCTGCACGTGGGGTGAAGCCACCCTTTGAACATCTGCACTTCCCATATGCTCTGCCCCTGAAAGTGCTGTGCTCCAGGCTAGTGCCAGTCGGCCTGCACCGTGCTAATCAGGGCACGGTGGTGCCAAAGCATGTGCACCCAATTAAGGACACGGCAGCCCACTCTCCCATCATGGCCGCTGACAGTGTGAACTCACGCACTCGGAGCCTCGCGCACGCAATCTGGCAGAGGTGAGTGCTCGGCTGTCTGCCGGGGTTTGTGCATCCCTCCCCCTCACCTTCAGCTTGCCTGTCATAAACCTTGCCTGTCAGAACGCTGAGCAGTAGCTTCAAAAAGGTGAACTGGGTCCAGGATGACTAACAGGTGCTGCATTGCTGACGCGAGCACAATTTCGGGACTTCAAAAAAAAAATAAATTTTACTCGGTCCAAGTTACTAGGAAGGTGGATTTAATGAAGTGGAGCGGTATGAATATTGACGTTTCAGCTCACATTAAACCTGCATATACCCTGAGTTTGGCAAAATCTCCTTTAGCCAGCTTTGAATATGACAGAGAACTTTATTTAGAAGAGAGGGGGGAAAAAAGGTTTAAATCAAGATACAATTACAAAGAAAGAAATGTAGGCACATCCTATCTAGATTTAGACACTATTATTTTTAATGTTCGGTTTTTTTCATGCACCTTAAGGGAACGAAGACTTAGGAAAACAGCATCCATTCATTCACCTATTCATCTCTTTACTCATTAAATAATGACTTTATCACTCGTCGTATACAATGGACCTGGCATTGTATCTGGATGTCAAAGTAGAGTTCCTGTTTTGAAGTCACAGAAAGTATAATCGGAGGCACAAAGAAAAAGAGATTTTTGTTCCTAATTAACATTCAAAACAGAACAGGAAAATAATAGCACGTTCTTTTCAGATCTGTTCATATTTTCCTATGTAAGCTGTGTGCCCACAGCTGAAAGCTCTGAAGGATACTTAGATCCGAGGCTCTGGAAGTCAAGATACCTGAGAGTAGTGTTATTAAATAGCAATACTTGATCTGAGGTGGTGGTAAAAGGTAGGAGTGAGGGCTGTTTTCATACACACACACACACACACACACACACAGAGGCATTCTGGACCAAGGCCTTCAGAAATTGAATTGTCCAGGAACAAAGAACTGCTTACATGCATTTTCTAACCAGGTTTAAAAATGAACAGTAGGAGGGCATCTTACCGCTAAATACTTTTATCCAGTTTTACCATTGGTATATTTCACTGAAGTGTAAGATTTAGTTTAGTTATTGGGAAAATTAAGGAAAACAGGGATTTTGGTAAAAGGGACAGGTCAAGGGAATTGGGCCTTTCAGGCAGATGGAGCAATGAAGGCTTACCAGGGTATTTCCAAGGTATTTTCCAAGGGCTGGGTTTGTGGCTGGGCCAGCCGCTCAAGGACGGTGATCCGTTCTGCTCCATAGCTTTACTGAGCACCGCAAGGATGTGATTGAGGTTAGACTGCTGAGCAAGCACTGCTTCTCAAGGTCTCCCTCATGACCCTCATTGGTTGGTGGTAGCGACCAGTGACAAATCTATATGGTCCAAGGAGCCTTGGGTAAAGGCACTCCCTGACATTCTCAATCTCATTAGGGCCATGCCATTGTCCGGACATGTGTCACAGCCATGTAAACCGGTAATGTTGCCACTCACTGTGCCATGTTCCCAGAACTAGTTTCATGTGTCTTCTGAAATTTCTTTACAGTCATGCATTATCTGGGTCTGTATGGTAGAAACTGAAATTTTCCCCTTATGTATGTCTAGAGGCATATTTCGAACAAGGCCTACCACAGATATGAAAGGGTAGCCAAAATAATAAAAACAACTAATAATACTAGTGACTATCATTTCTTGAAAATTTATGTGAGTCAGACATTATATTGATTTTAACAGTCATATAAAGTCTGTATTATCACAATATGTATTTTATGGTTGTGGAAAGTAGAGCACAGAGAGGCCAGGAATTTGTCCAAGGTTGCCCAGCAAATCATTGGCAGTGAGCGATTGGGCCTAACTAGTGCATAAGTGTGGGTTTTAAAGATGAGAACCGTATTATGAAGAGCCCTGAATGCTCCACCACAAGGAATGGACTCGATCCTGCAGATAATGGGGATTATAGGCAGAGAAGTGGTATGATCATAGACAAACTAGGTTTGGAGCCTTTGCAAAATTGAGTCTTACAGAATTAAAATAATTTTGCAAAGGTTACCTACCTAGGAAAAAGCAGAGCTAATATATCCAAGTATGAAACTATTTTATCCTACAGCCTCTTCCCAGCCAAGACATGGGGCAAGGGGAGCAAATAGGTAAATCAGTCTTCCCATGGAAAGGAAAGGTAGTGTCTTTTTTTGCAGCATTCCAGGATTTAGTAATTTCTGGGTACCTTACTTGTACAGTGTGGAGGGGAGAACAGAAGGGACACTGGCATATAAGCTATGGGTAGCCTCCTAACTGCATGCTGCCTGAGAGGTGGAGGCCAGTGCGTTTTTAAACGGAAATTGAGGGGGTGCCTGGGTGGCTCTGTCGGTTAAGCATCAGATTCTTAGTTTTGGCTAGGTCATGATCTCTGGGTCGTGGAATCAAACCCCATGTCAGGCTTTGTGGTGAGCAGGGAGTCTGCTTGGAATTCTCTCCCTCTCCCTCTGGCCCCTCCCCCACTCGTGCTTTCTCTCTCTCTAAAATAAATAAATAAATAAATAGATAGATAGATAAATAAATAAACCTATCTTAAAAAAAAAAAAAAGGAAAAAAAGTGGAGATTAAGACCAAGTGAATAAGGCTGGGACTGAGCTGAACTGACCTATACAAGTTAACAAAGGAAAAGACCTAAGAGAAATAAAAGGTTGGGTGATTATTTTTTAAAATATTTTGATTAATGTTGAGGTGATTTTGAAAATAGATGTTACCATTATTTGGTATTTACGTATAATTTCATTAGGGACAAGAGTTAGATATTCTCTTACAGATACTTATCAATATCTGGAGAATGGAGGGGAATATCATTTTGCTTAGTTATTGCCAAGGTACTAGGTTCTGAAGCATTGCTAAGTCTTAGCCTCGTCATATCACATCTACTTTGCAAAGGTCAAATACATCACATTAATTTCATACCTTAGATGCAAAATGTCTTTCTTGCTTTCAATTTTGTCAGGGAAGATTAGGCAGTCATGACTTAAGAATTGGAACCTTTGGGTCTGGGTGTCAGAAATCTGACATTCGTGGAGCAGCATGACATGCCGGTTTATGTCAAACTCATAATAAGCATATGTATAGATGGTAAGAAATGCTTTCTTCAGAATCTCTGCTCAGAAATATCCAAACTGAATGAAGGTGATCCAGGTAAATATCAATGAGAACAGAAACCTATGTGACAGTGAAACATTTCTTAAGAAATGAGTTCTCTTGAAATTGGGCAACATGATGCCCCCAGTTTTGTTTTTCTTTTTCAACATTTCCTTGGCGATTCAGGGTCTTTTCTGATTCCATACAAATTTTAAGATTGTTTGTTCCAGCACTTTGAAAAATGGTTAACAGACACATGAAAAAATGTTCATCATTAGCCATCAGGGAAATTCAAATCAAAACCACACTGAGATACCACCTTACACCAATTAGAATGGCAAAAAACAACAAGACAAGAAACAACAAATGTTGGAGAGGTTGTGGAGAAAGGGGAACCCTCTTACACTGTCGGTGGGAATGCAAGTTGGTACAGCCACTCTGGAAAACAGTGTGGAGGTTCCTCAAAAAATTAAAAATAGAGCTACCCTATGACCCAGAAATTGCACTCCTGGGTATTTACCCCAAAGACACAGACATAGTGAAAAGAAGGGCCATATGCACCCCAATGTTCATAGCAGCAATGTCCGCAATAGCTAAACTGTGGAAAGAGCCGAGATGCCCTTCAACAGATGAATGGATTAAGAAGATGTGGTCCACATATACAATGGACTATTACTCAGCCACCAGAAAGGATGAATACCCAGCTTTTACATCGACCTGGATGGGACTGGAGGAGATTATGCTAAGTGAAATAAGTCAAGCAGAGAAAGTCAATTATCATATGGTTTCACTTATTTGTGGAACATAAGGAATAGCATGGAAGACATTAAGAAAAGGAAGGGAAAAATGAAGGGGGGGAATCGGAGGGAGAGATGAACCATGAGAGACTATGGACTCTGAGAAACAAACTGAGGGTTCTAGGGGGGAGGGGGTTGGGGGGATGGGTTAGCCCGGCGATGGGTATTAAGGAGGGCACGTACTGCATGGAGCACTGGGTGTTATACAAAAACAATGGATCTTGGATCACCACATCAAAAACTAATGATGTATGGTGACTAATATAACATAAAAACAAAACAAAACAAAACAAAACTAACAAGAAATGAGTTCTTTGACATCTTCATTGATAAAAAGAAAGAAAGAGTAAAGAAGGTAAAACCAAATTTGCCACTTCAACTTTCTTTTCTATGGTTAAATTTCATTAAACTCAAAATGGCTCAATATCTGGAGATATTCCCCTTAGTTACTCTTAGTTACTCTCATTGGCCTGCTCTTAGTTATCTGTGGCTCTAATGACGGATATAAGTAGTAAGCTGTCTTTCCAGTTGGATGTTCAGGACCAATGGTGTAGGTCAGCATGTGATAATATAGACCAGACAGATACACCGTGGAAACAAGTACTCATATGTGAAATCAGCTACAGAAGATGAGAGGAAAAACGGCCTGGCAGAAAGGGATATAAGAAGAGAATGGAGATTCTCTACAAGGCAAAAGATAAATAAGTGACTATGTGTCAGGAAAAAAAAAATAACTAGGAAATTCACAATTAGTACAGAGGCAGTAAGAAAACAAAATTCCTGTCATGCTTATGGAGTTCATGGCTCCAGTTCCAGGAAGGGCTGGTGTGAACATGACAGGGTGTGAAGCTTAGATGGGCTAGAATATGAGACCTGCTGTCCAAGCAAGGCTTAAATAGGGAAGAGAAAACATTTGTAATGTTATGAATTAGACACAATCACAGGCACCAGGTGGGAGCTCCGTTACCAAACCTGAGTTAGAGTGCAGATGTAGTTACTGCTAAGGTAGATTGGATTTTGAAGTCGTGTTCCTTAGATTTTTCTCTGTTGGATTTGTAGGGACTGAGCCTATAGTGAGGTCAAGGAAACTTAGTTATGTGGGTTAGAGTGA